GAAGTTAATCCAGACATGAGCATGAGTGTCATCATGACAAGTTAATCTCTCTCAAAAATTATTTTTTCTACTTGATAGTAGAAGGTAAGCTCTGCTTTTTTTTTTTCTACCAAATACATCCTTAAAATTATATTAACTACATTTCTTCCTCTGAATTGTTTTTTTCTTCCTATTAGTGCAAAGAAAAAGGACATGCATATAAAACGCAGGCCGTTACTATTTTCACCATTTTCACTGTAGCACTATACAAATGAATTCAAGTAAATTCAAAAAGGGAACTGACCATGAGATTAATTCTTTTAGCATGAACACCTCTGAATTACACTAAAAACAAAAGCAGTTTAGCTTCACAAGAAAAAAATTATATGAAAAAGAGGGGACTAAATACTAGACAGTTCTGCAGACATTCCATTATCAAACCTATTGACATGCACATATAGGAAGGGAAGAGATGAAGTTCTAAGAGCTTTATTGAAACTGCAGTGCCACAGGCAAGAACTAAAAACCTAGTTCAGGAGAAGATATGATGGAAAGGCAAAGTTAACTGCTTACGTACCCTCAGTAGTACTTACTCCTTCATAGATGAAAGTCAACTACATGGAAATTTTCAGGTTTTAAAACCTTCACTAAGATTTTAGGAGATAATTCCACACTCTCATCCCAGTTCATCAGGCAAATGGAGTTCATCCACAGCTCTCTAGTAAAAATTCACTTTATGCCACAATTAAACACCAGTATTTGAGAAAGTTAAGAAGCAAAAACACAGCAACTTATAAAAAGTTGCTATCTTAGGGGGAAGATTTTTACAATAGCATAATGTGCAATATAGCAGACCTATGGCTGCTGGGGGAACCATACATTTGAAGTTCCAGACTTCTGAGAGTTGAAAATGCAAGCAGTAATGTTACAATACAGCAGTTAAGCCTAGTACAAAAGATAAGAAACTTTAAAACATGGAAAAATACTCTGGTTATGTATTTATAATGGCAGTAAAACACTGTTTTCCTACATCACATTTAAGAACCTCAGGGCAACCGTCTTAACTATAGATTAAGAACACAAGCTATAGCTATTAAAACAGAGATTAAAAAGAGCTATCAGCTCCTTTCAAATACTTAAACTTTTACCACCTTCATTCTAGTTGTCCTAACAGATGTAGTCTGTGCATCTGATGGATCTTTGAGAAGGAACATGAAACCCAATAAGAGACAGAAGAAACACAGGAGCCATCAACATAAAAGAAGCTGAGAAATAATATGAAAAGTAGGAAAACATTACAATCCAAATTCTGCAAAAACACATTACTTAGTAATGTCCACCTATCACAATACCAATTTGAAGCAAATACCATTCACAGCCACAACTGTGTCTTAGTATTTCAGATTCCTTCTCAACTAGGGAGCTGTTGAGCTTACTTAAATCACAGACTTTTGCAGGAGTCTCATGAATACATAAATTCCTGGCTTAGACACAGAACTCCTGAACTGTTCTGAGTAACCTCAAGAGATGCTAAGCTACAAAATATGTGCCAAAAAGGAGAAACAAAATGATATCTATCATTTGAGACTTTTTACAAGCAGATACAGGGAAAAAATATATGTATTTCCTAATAACCTGTCACAAAAGGGAAAAAAAATCTACTTTTTTCTCCATTTGTTATGCCAGATCTTCCTTGACTGACAAGACCTCAAATTTTTGTGACACTGCCCTTTAAATGCCATCCTAATGTAAATTACATGTCCAAGTAGAAGAAAAACACCTGCTTTATGCCTACAGAATGCACTAACCTTTCTTTCAGTAGGTACTTAGAATTTACTACTGGTAGTTGAATTGGAGGATGCAGATGAACAGTTATAACACAACCTTTACAAAAGCACTTCTTACAGGTTAAGAAATTCTTCATATATAGCATTGTATGTGTATTCATGTTGGTGGGGGTGCACAGCAAGCAATTGTTTCAGTGCTCTTACCCTGGCTGTAGCTGGAGGTGCCTGTTTACCCAGTTCACCTGTTCCATGCACTAACAAGGCTGCATCTGCTATACAATCTCATGTGTTGCCTCTGCCAGATTGCCCTAGAGATGGAACAACTAAGTGAGTATAGAGCAATGTAGTGAATTCCCACAGGGATGAATGTCACCTCAGAGAGCTCCAGATGGGAATCAACCCTCTTATTGTTCAAAGTGTGCAATGTACACAGACACAATATTCAATTCAAAATTCAAAACAGTACTTCATCCTACACAAACACACACACAAAGAGCCATATATGAAAACACAGAAGACACCTTCACCAAACTACTTCCTGATCAGCAGGGAGTCTGAGCTGCAGGAAACTGAGCAACAAAGGCATCAATAAGGCATGGACAAGATGCCCTTTAAGCAAGGCCACTGGATAAAGCTGCACTCTTAGAGAGGCAATGCCATGAGCTGACTTGTGTCAGTGGTCTCATCACACGCACCAAAATAGTCTACTGAAATCTGCTGGTACAGATACTGTGATCAAAAATTTTCAGAAAAAACAAAGATCTAGAAGAAATCACTAGAGAGCAGCCTTCTTTTGCAACTGAAAGGAAAAAAACTCACCTCCTGAAGGATACACCCTATTTCCTAACTGCAACATTTTGAAATTTCAAAAGGAAAACCAGACAGACCTTTCCGGATTCAGAATCTATTTGCCTAAATCAAAGTTCATCAACACAGATTGATTCATTGCTTGTCCTGAGACCCCTGAAATTACAAGCTACAGAAGCTAAAGAGACTGTGTGGTAATGCTGCAATATTTTGTCTACCAATTAAAACATCAGATTTATATTTTTGCAATATTTTTCTTTTCTTCAGAAGCATATTAATTACAGTCACTACTTACAACTTTTTAATGCTCTATGGGAATTAATAAATTGTATCATAATCTTGCTCAATCAGTTAATTTACAGAAAATTATGTCTACATACTGTCTTCTAATACAAAGAAAACTAGATAGCACACTTATTTAAATGACATTTCATAACAATGATGACATATCTACAGAATGTCAGTAATTTTACCATACTAATAAACTCCCTAAAAAACAATCGCTAGAGCTAAAAGAACAATACAGTCACAAAAAAAAGACTAATAACTTCAATTCTCTTTGATTCACAAGAAACACGAATAACCAGAAGCCTCCTTAAAATAGTAAAAAACTTTTACTTTATACAACTTAAATCTATTTCATTAGTATATTAGTCTCATTAATAGATATTGTCATCACTACATATTTAATTACATTACTAAAATATTGGTTTAGGGAGTATATTTAACAATATTATGTGAGCAATTAGTTTTATAACAGAGGAACTGTTTAGAAAAAGTTTTTATCAAATATACAGTACACTTTTTGGTTTTATAAGTATATGGGATTTGTGTTACTCTCATCCTCATTTTGTAGTTGTTCAAAGACAAAAACTTCAAGACACACAGTATTGTCTGTTCTGCAATCTGGGGGATAAAAAGTGTGAATCTGCACGTACCTGATCCTAGCACTGGAAAGTTCTGTCAGAATAAAGATTCAAAATATATATTTTCATTTTTCAATAGCAGACAACCTGAAGTTCTTGCCCCATAACTTCACATCTTTACTACTAGATCACTAGTGAAATGTTTTATTTTAGCTGTTATCTTGTTTCTTGGTACATAAGTCAGTTTTGTAAACAAACCAAACAACAAAATTTAAAAAAATTTAAAAAGAAAATAACAAGAACAAATAACCCTTCAGAAACACAAGGACTCTATTTATGACCAGCAATGGATCATAACCACATTTAAGATGACCATTCTTTCCTATGTCTCACATTCTGAACCTTAAAAAAGAAAAATTGGAATATGTTTTACCAATTTTATAAACACTTCAATAATTTCTCTTCATGGTCCTAACTTTTTCCTTAAAGAAAATGATAAAACAAGTGTTTTCATACCTTAAAAAAAGTCACCAAATGTCTTCCTAATACTACCAACAAATAAAAAGGGACACATTAGCTATCATGAAATAAAGACTGTTCCTTCTTTTCATGGACGATAAAACTGGTAAGTAGTTTGAGTTAGGAAAAGTTTCAAGGGAATAACTGATTAATTGAAAAACCCTATTGTAAAAGGAGAATTGCCCAAATGGGACTGGCAAAACCTTGAAGTGAAAAGCTTAAATATAATAATGGAAGACTACAAAAAAAAATTCTATTAGCTCCTCCAAAAACTCTCCCTCTTAAGTAAGGCTTCCAAGTCCTATTGTAAAATACCAACTAATGAAATCTGTCCACTCTTTATGAGCACTGAACAATATGCTTCAAAACTAATATCATAATTGAAGTGTCGAAAAGAAACACTCTAAAAGCAAAAAATTCTTCTAATTAATATACAGAACTTAATTATGATGTTCAAGGAAGACTCTCTAAGAAAAAATTTAGATTAAATTCACAGTAAAATAACGTTTGATGTGAAATAGAACAGTAGGAAAGTCTGTATTTAAAGCTTTTTATAATTCTACCTTAACCATGGGCAAGAATCAGTACCAAGAAGATTAATGATTCTGAAGTTACTGACTGCTTGGATGTTAAATTACTTCACAAAACAAATCCAGAAAAATGTATTTGCTTCCAGGGACCTAAACACTTGTATTATTCATTCCCTAACACTGGCTGTTACCAAAAACCCATCAAGACCTGTGCTACACACATGAAAATCTGGGCAGTTTCAGGTCAGAAAAGTCTGTGTTCCCTCTTAGATATGTAACAGAGCAAAAAACCTCTAAAATCCCTATATTCCCATTAATGATCAAAAGGATTCCACAAATGGCACAAAGTAAAGCAGATAATGATGATCGGTAAAGTCAAGACCCATAAAGACAAAACTACTCTCTTGATTCCAGATAATAACCAGTAACAGACTGCCATACTTGGAAACTAAATTATGTATTAATCTAAAAATATTCTCTCTTTGAGTTAGTATCTATTGATGCACCCTTACCAAGCTTCAGGTAACAGCAAAGCATACTCATATGGTGAAGTAGTCTCTGGGAAATTGGAGAGAATCGCCTGTCTGTGTGGAAGTAAAGCTGATCCATGAAATGTGAACAAAATTTCCAAGGCTCTGACATTGCTTTCCTAAAGAACAGAACAGTAAGTCGCAGAGCTTAAGACTGATTTAGACTGAAAATGAGCAAAAAAGTTTAGGTCATACAGCGAACAGTTCATTTTTAAATTTTCTTTAGCAACAAAAAAACAAGGCCAGGGTCACAGCATTTATTTATTTAAAATTAAACAAAGACACCACCTCTTAAATTTCCATTGAGACTCAACTAAGTTCAAAGGGAGGAGGAAAAAGCATTTTAGTGCAAAGAGCAATAACAAAACAACATTGGATTCTAGCAACATAAATATTAATACCCGAGCATAAGTTCTTGCTGAAAGGACAATATTCTGATTTCTGAACTTCTTAAAGAATTCTCCATCATAATGCTCAGCTGCATGAGACCCTCCAAGGATTTCCTTCAAAACAAAAACAAAAAAAAAAAAAAATACTGCTTTTTATACAAGATTTACAAAAGCATCAAAAAGTCCATACATCTTTTTATCTTAGGATGAGTAAGTATGAGGTATATGTAGAAAAGTATGCTGGGTTTTTTGTTTCAGTATGAAAAAAACAGATGCATTTTTTGTTGATAAGCTAAGACATTTTTCTGCCTTATTTTAATTAAGGTTTAGACATCATTAATTACAGAGATGTGGTAAAAGCCATAAAGGGAGTGTGTGCATTACCAACTGCAAACTTAAATCTTAAAAACTTAGTAAAATACAGTTTGACATTCCAAAAACTTTCACTTTAGTAAGCTCATGGAAGAAAATTATTTGTTAGAGAACCTGCACAAAACTTGTCAATTTGACTGACAGGAATATCACAGTAATCCTGCCTGAACTCTACATCTCATGTAGTTGCATAATTCAATTCCCTGCAGACACAGGATGTTCAAAGCAGGCTTTTGCCCAACTGAACCTCTCAAGACTAGAAGCCATCCTTTTGAAACAATGAATAGAAGAAATACAGTCACTTGAACAGAAAACATCTTACATTTCTCCAGTGATAGACTGTAGCTTTTCAACCAGGCCATAAACATTAATACCGCAATAAATAACAAAAAAGGGTAAGATGATGTGATGCAAAAGTTGAAAGAGTACCTATGGTGTGAGAACTCAGAACTCACCTCATAGGTCTCAAGGCGATCAAGATAAGTCAACAGTTTCAGCCTGCTACGGCAGAGCTCCTTCTGTTCCAGGGTCAGCCTGTGTTCAGAACAGGAATTTTCACATTTGCCATTAATATTTTATGTCATGTGCATATGAAGACAAATGTTACACATTTTAATGACTTTGTGCACTGGGATATATCATGAAATTAAGTAAACCAAGAACTTTGACACAATATAATGCCAATTAAAATTTAAACCACTTTTCTAGTAGGAATAATATATGTAAGAGTAATTATGTTCTCGCAACTGTGTAGTTATTATAAACCTATCATTCTGAATAAAACATGGCCTAACATTTCATTTACTTTGAGAAGTTTACTGATAATAGCAGTTCTTGACGTTTCTTGGCTTCCTTTTCCTTTCTAGCATCCATTTCTTCATCTGGTGACAAAAGGTCTTCATAGGGAATTTCAATGTCTACTTCCCCTGGTAAAATAAATCTGGAAGACAAAAATCAACAATCTCAGCAAAGAAGGAGGAAAACAAAAAAAGTGAAGTAATTTTTAAAGAGAAATAATAAAAGAGCTTTTTGTCTATGTTTTGACTAAAAAACTGCACATGTATAGAAAAATACTGAATTTTTGTGTTGTAAAAAAGCAGGGATTTTTCCCAAGCCAACAAGAGACATCAACTCTTGTTTCCACTCCATCCCTAAAACAAACCAAAACCAAACTTGATAAAAGTTTCTAAATTTGACAGCCAGCAGCTGGATTGGCACAGCTCTACAGCAAACAAAGGTAATAGAAGACTGCACAAAGAAAGAACAGCCTCTTTCTATTTCTACCATCAGAAACTGAACACTGACGAGAATTGTCTCTACCTTGCTTCTGCTTGATCAAGACATAACCAAACACATTTATAGGGCTAGCTGCAGCTTTCAGAAGCAACAAGAGAAACAGATTCTCATAGTAAAATATTACATCATAAATTCCTTCTGATGAAGAAATTACAGGGCATATATTTACAATGAACACCATATTTTGTATACATACAGAGATAAAATGCATAGGCACTTTATGAACATCTACAGAATAGTCTGAGTCAACGCACAAGCTTTCTTTATGTCCTGCAAAAGCTTCTCAATATTTTCTAGTAGTTGATAAGATAAAAAATTGACCCAATTACTATAAAATACTTTATATATCATTCTTTAAAAAGAAAACAAACAAAAAAATACTCTTTCCAAACCTGCCACCATCTTCTCCTTTTCCTATGGCCACAAGAGCCTCCAAATCTGTGCCCTTCAAGCCATACTGAAGCAGCTTCTTAGCAGCATCTGCATTTTCTGGAACTCTTTCCAAGCACTCATGAAGAACCCATGCACGTTTCTTGATTTTGCTCTGTTCAAGAACAAGAGCACAGACACAATTCAAAGGCTGAATTCAAAGCAATGGAACCAGAGATTACATTAAAGTTCCCTTCTTCCACTTAAGAAAATGTCAAGCTCCCCTGGTGACTGACACTGCAAACCAACAAAAGAGATGAGAACACAATAAACACAATTCCCTCAGAGGGGAATATATATGTGGCACAAAAGGGCACAGAAATACCAAATTACTTAGCACAACTTCTACAACTAGAACAGACGTTATTATTTGTACTTTCTAATTAATGTCACTCCTTTTTACACGAAATAAAATGTGATGGTTTAAGGGTAAAATACATGTTTTATAAACCAAGTACATAAATTCCACAATAGCACTAGAGTAATTTTCAATACTATCCTCTTCACATGCCAGTAAGATTGTGTGAAAGAAAAGGCATCACAATTACAAAACATATTTGCCTGATCTGCTGATCTTTGGTTGACATTACAAATCAAATACAGAATGGCTAAATTTTGACATTCAGTTGCTGAAGAAAAATAGAATACACTTCTCTTGTAATACTTTAGCCTAGACTAACATACCTATCTATACTCCTATACCTACACTAATATACCTATATTACCAATACTATACTAATACTAAACTATATATTACTATTTTAAAGTAATAGTATATTTCTATTACTAATACTTTACCACAACCATGAGGTTGTACAACCTCAACACCATTTTTCTGCTGATTTAGAAGTCTTCTTCCAAGCAAAAAAAAAAATCCCATGTTGCATTCTACTGAAAAACTCAGTCACAGAGTTCACTGTAAATTTTGTTATTCAAACTTTTCAATACTAACTTCACCTTCCCAATTTAATTCTATAATAATTGGAAGTTTAAACAGTTGATATTTCCAACTATTATTCTTCACTTGCCAGGCACTAATCTACTACTGCATGTGGGGGAAGAGATTACACAGGAAGTGTGTTGCTATCAACAGAAGTTAGGAGATATTCCAGAAGACTTTTATTAACTGCCAAGGTTTCTAGATTAGGCCTTCAATTAAACTGCTCTCTTACATATGACATGAAATTGAATTTTCGGAACAATTCTTCAAACTGCCACCAATTTACATTGCATAACTTAGAACACAGTTGAGAATTCCACTTCTGTAAAGATAACACAGTCAGTTTAATAAGGAAGTAAAAAAAAAAAAAAAAAAAAAACCAAAACAAAAAAAAAACAAAACACAAAAAAAAACAACAACAACAAAAAAACAACAACAAAACAGAAACGCACCAAATAGTCTTGAATTGAAGCAACATTAACAGCTGACTTCCTCCACTGTCTTTGGTATACAAGATCAGAATCAAGGCCATACGTTTGAGCTAAAGACAAAGCTTCTCCATATTCTTCATTATCAATCTAAAAGGCAAACACATTAAAATGAAAGTCATATGATTTTCCATCCTGAACAATTAATTGCTAATTTTCTATGTTGAAAGAGGTAGAGGGATAATTACTGTGGGTATGCATCAGCAGGTAGGAAAGAGACTCGTTCAAGATACAGATAAGTAAGACTTAGATCTGATGGACACCTCTGGAAATGAAAGATTTTTCCCTTCAGATAAAAGGAAGATGTTATTTAGGTAACATCATATTAGTTATACATCATATTTAGTGTGACACCAGCATTCTCTGGGAACTGTCAAAGTTATAGAGTGGGCTGGTTTACCATCAGAACAATTGGAATGGCCTAGATACAGAAAACTGTCTAAGATCCCTAGAAACAGAGCAGTATCTGTTTGGTAAGAATGACTCAGAGACCTAATCTGTACATATCTGAAGAAAACATGCAAAATATTCACAGATGACTGTAAGTTAACCCATTCCTGGGCCAACAACAAGTTAAACTGATTTCATTCAATATATTTGCCAAGTCTTTCACTACATGCAAACACGAGTACATGTCCAAGTCTAGTCCAAGTCTAGCCACATCAATGATACACTGAGTCTTGCTGTGGAAACATCACCTCATTTTGGTTATTATAATGCTATTTTTAAAAAAGGATCCCGTTAATCAGGTGACACAGCACACTGTCAGTTAAGAGACTCTTTGAAATATATGCCTAAACCTTTTTTTCAACAGCAGGAGTTAAAAGAAAAATAAAAAGCTCTTTCTAAATAAAGATGATTAAAAGAGATTTGACTTTTCCTTCCGACTTACTTTTCTCTGATACAGTTCCTCTGGAGTTGTGGATCTTAAGCTGACAAGGCGGAAATTCTTTGTAATAGTACGTGGTCGTTTCCGTGGAGGAGCAAATCGTTCCATTTCTGTTACAAAGTACAGGCCTTGCTTTAGGTAGCTGAAGTATCTGTCCTTAGCAGAAGTTTCTTCATCTGAGTCTGAGTCATCATCTCCCTCATCTTCATCACCAGGCCTGCTCTCCAAGCGCAGTCTTTTTGGAACAAGTTTCATCTCACACTGCACAGAAAACATGAACAAGAAGCATCTATCTAGTACCTCTAAACTAGTTTAGTAAGAATTGAGTATACCTCCACTTCCAGAACTTTTCAGAATCAACATCCCTCCTCACTCTCTCCTTCAAACCATTTGTTACTCAGTTTGCTTAACATGTTTCAGAAAACCAGACTGCATCTGTCTCCTGGATCTGAGGTTTCATCCCTCACCTACAGAAGTGAAGGCTTCTTAGTAAACTGCCTTTACCCTACACCTCCTGCACCAGCCAAAACAGGGCAGAACAGTGGAGAAATCTTCCTACACTTTCCGTGGCTTACTGCAGCATACAGTTGTGTTTTCAACTCTCGACTATTCAAATAGAGGTTTTCTATTCAATGCAATCTCAGACTACATCCTTAGGCTGTAGTATGCCAGTCATGAGCTATGCATATTATTTCCAGAATAATACAATTTTCCAAAAACATACACACAAGCTTTGGTGTGGACTGAGATTTTCTGATTCTAATGCTAAACTTTTGATTAAGATGTTTAAGGCCTATTTCAATATAAGCTTTAGAAAAGAGTAATATTCCTCTCACTGAGACTCAACATTCTAGGAGTTTTGCTTCTACTCTCCACAAGTTTTATCAAGTTTTTCTTAGAACAGTTAAGGTGCAGCAAGCTCAGAATCACCCTGCAGTGCCTATCTACAGATAAGGAAGAAGAATCACTTTTCCTATTAGTAGCAACATCTATTTTAACCACCCTACCTTAGGATCAGACATAAAAAAGCAAACTGTTATACTGCATTCCAAAAGGATACCTGCTTGTGCACATTCCTCACCTCCAGACTTAGAAATCCTCCATCGTGAGCCGAGGTAACCTGAGGAGAACTCTCAAACCATTCACACGTCTTCCCCAGCAAGTTTCTTAAAGTCTTGACTGATGACACAGTCAATGCACCAGAGCAGCGAGCAAGGATGACAGAATTATCTGCCCACCAATTTACATCTATCAATGGGTAATAGGATTCTTTATCTAAAATAAGAATGCACCATATAAAGAAAGATAATATTAAACCTCAGGTAAGAACAGAAGATACCTCCATTATGAAGAAATATGGTCTAATCTAACAGATATTAATTGTTATATTTGCAACCTTGGTTCACTAAGTCTGTATTTTATATCAGTTATCTTTTACTAGACAGTTTTTGTGTTAAATAAAGCTGTTGAGGACAAAAAAAGTCACAATTACAAATATATACATCATTTGGAAAAAATACACAGCAAACTGATTTACTTGTACAAAAAAATAACAGATTTTTCATCTATGATAAAGATCTACTCGATTACCTATCAGGCCATCCTCAACATGACAACAAACCAAATACTAATGAAAATCAGAAAAGGCTACATTGCTTTTGAGGACAAGTAAACCTATCAACATATTCCAAGAAGAGGCTGTTAGGAATATTAAACTAAAATAACCAAATGAACAAGAAAGTCTCTAGGACTGAGGATGGAAGCTGTGGCATTTCCAGTCACTGTCTTTATTATGGTAACTGGGTGTTGGACTAAAATGGGCTCATTTTGCTCCCCACACGTCACTTCCCACTCCTCTGATGACAATAATATTTCCCCAAACAGCACTAAGAAATAGGTCACATTATTCCTTTTTTAATAGTGCTTAACCAGCATCCTGCTTATGAAGGTCAGATGAATTAACCCAAAAGCAGAATTACCAAAGAAAATATTACAAAGAAGCAGGAATCTTTTAATAATATAGATGTGTATAAGCAGCAGTAAATGGATCATGGAATAGGTATTGATCTCTGCACTCTTGGAACAGCCATGCAATAACCAGGTGCTAAATGGCTGCCCAGATTGGCCCAAGCTTTCAGAAAACAATAGTGTGATTAGGTAAATCCAGTCAGAGGAAATTGTTTTAGAATTGTTTTTAGAATTTTAAACCAGTATCTTTAAATTACAGTAGCTTTCAAGATTATTAGACATTTACATGAAGAAAAAATGAAATCCTGTGCTAATAGAAATAATCAACTTTATTATAGCTATAAAAGCATTCCCAAAAAAAATCTGGAAAAAAACCCTATTGTGACACTTATTTAACTCTGCCATGCTACAAATTCAAAAAATCCAATTTTGGCACCCTGACTGAGATTTAATTCAGCCATTTCAATCTTCATGTATTTGAATTATTATTTTTAACTGCACAGGGATATAAAATAATGATCTAACTTTACTGCATACCTTTTATTTTCTTTCTTTTTTCACTAGAGAGTCTCCAGTCTGGGTTAAGCTCATCATAGCCAGGCTAAAAAAAAAAATTATATGCAACTAAATCTTTGTAAAACAGAATCCATTTATTTACTCTGCAGCCAACCCACTCATTTTTTAATTGAAATGCTCTCTATAAATTCAAACTCTTCTCAAGCACAAACATACAACCTCTGCAGTACCATTGTACTTTTCTACAGACAATAAAAAAAAAACAAAACAAAAACCATAAAACCACAAGTCACAGCCTGACCAGCTTTAAACAGTAATCATACCCTAAAGATTTCTGAAATAAAGGTTCTCCAGCAATCAAAAGCCAAGGGTTTGCTTTTTATGTCAGTACATAGGACTACAGGCACATAAAGTAATCTCCAAAAGAGCCTGTGTAGTGGTCTTGTGTGACAGTCTAGCACAGTTCTCTAAGTATTTTCCCCAGCTTTTTCATAATTATGAAGCCCCTTTCAAGATTAGTGCAAGAAAAGCAGCAGTATTATTAATTGACACACTTCAAAGTTTAGAATTATGTTGCAATGCTGTTATTTTAAACGTGATTTAGCAGTGACAGAAATCCTGCCCCCAAGTGCAACACAGTGGAAGTACAGGAAGCTGAAATAACTGAAGCACATTAAGATCAAGCAGAAGGTGTTTTTCAGACTTGATTTTTCAGTAGAAAGAGAAGAGTCTACTAATTAAAAGTAAACATGAGGTCACTCTAAGTTAATTTCACACATATTATGAAAATACACATTATACTTGGACACCAGTTTCACCTACAAAAAAAATTTTGTGAACAGTCAAGCACTAAATATTCCTTTATATCACCCTCACTGAATTATGAAGTCCTGAATGCACTTCAGAATACATATTCATTATTGCCAAAAACAAACAAAAAATACTACTCGCTGTAAGCATCCTTGAGCAAAATTTGTCAAAAGTGTGCATTTAAAATAAATAGATATGCATATATTGACACACAACACTTATCCCAACACTAGAATAGAATTTCTTTTGAGTTTTTTGTTTTTTCTTTGTTTTGGTTGTTGTTTAAAAATGCTTTTCTACATAAGCTTGAAATTACATTTCGATCCCATTTGTTTACCCTGTTTGGAACTGATTTTGGTTTATGTCTTGTAGGTTTAGAACAGAATACACAGTACTCCAAGTGAAAAGCTTTTATTTATTACTCAAGAAATTATTGGGAGGAAAATCAGAACACTTCACATACTAGTGTGCATCAGTTCAGACTTTTCACTTTTCAGAATGCATTTCATCATTAAAATAAAGTTTAGGGTTTTTTTTTTCTTTGAAAACTACTTAGCTTTAAATTCCTAGTGCTTAAATTGACACAAGTCACACAGAAGTTTGCTAGTGTCTAAGAAATTCCTAATGTAAATTGCACTACTTAGTTTTGCAAATAATTCCTGCAGAAAGCATTGGACTTAACAGCAAATTGGTTAAGAAAATATTCTACAGCATCATATGGAAACAGGTATGGTAAATTTTGAGGGAGGAATAGAATATACTAAGACATTCAGAATTTGGTTTCAACCACTGAAACAAATTTAGCCTCTACTTCTATAACTGCATTTCAGTCTAATGGCCTTGTAGTCTAATTCTAAAAGTGTTACCTATTAGGCACCAAAATGCTTCATGAAAAAATTAATTGCAACATAATTGGTTCCTTCTCTTAATTTTTCAAGTTTACAGTTTATGAATATAACATAGAAAGATTATAATAAATATAAGTATAGGGCTCTTGAAAAATATGGAGCTGACTGGGAAGCTAATATGTAGCTAATGCATCATTACCCAAACTCCTCTCATCTCCTACAAAAATACAATTCCAGGGGAGTAAGATATCTAAGTCAAGTCTCTAAACATGTACATTCTTCTTCTTACCTGAGCAGTTTGGTCCCATTCTCCTTGTTGTCTGAGAGATGGAATAGACCAGATTGTCAGTTTTCCTGAGAAATGAATAGCTGCCAAAAGAGCTCCATCAGGAGAAAGATTCATCTTGAAAACTCCATCCTGCCGAACATGATATCCAAGCAAATAAACAAACATAGTAAAGATATACAGCAAGGAACAGCTAAAAAAAATCCTAAAATATATATTTTTTTCTATTTTAGGGAAACAAAAAATTGTGCAATCTTGCACTCTGAAAAGTTAACATGCCTTAAATTAAAAATAAACAAAAAAACACCTATTCTAAAAGAAAAATAGAAGAGATCAGCTGTGACATGGAAGAATAAAAACAACCTGCATAAAGGAACAGTACTATCTTAGTATGAACAAATCTTTAGGAATGTAAACTTCTCTATCACCTTGTTATATGGCAAATAAAACCTGGAAGTGCAGCATTCCTAAGAGAACAGCCTGACAGCAATGCAGAGCTATTTGGAGGAAAAACTGCAGGTTGTTCTCTGTATAGCAAAAACATTCAGCAGCCTCAGATTTCTGCTATCCCGGCTCTCTAGTCCATCCAAGGCAGACAATTACCAAACCACAGTTTAGTACAGCCCTTCCTCCTTGCGAGGAAACTTATAGGTGAGTATTACTACAAATCAAATTCTTAAATAAAAAAAAAAAAAAAAAAAAAAAAAAAAAAAAAAAAAAAAAAAAAAAAAAAAAAAAACACAGAAAACACAGACATTAAGAGATCTTGGAGACATAAGAGATCTGTTGTCCATTTCAGGATACTGAATCAGAATCCAAGAACCTCTTGAGTGATAACAGACCAAGTAGTAACATATGAATATCAGATTAAGTCCATTCAGATAAAATAATTCAACATTTGTACATTAACTTCATTAAGGCTACAAAAATTCTCCCTGATTAAGATTTCTGTCAGCTCTGGATACCTTACTAGAGAAAATATACTTCTAACAAAATACCTTCCTAAGGATTCGTGAAATCCTGCACATCTACAAGTGGTTCTGTACACTATTTCCACAAGAAATACACATTTAAATTTTAAAGTAAAATTTAGTGACACTGTCAATGAATGACAATTTCTGAAAATACATTTTACATTTATTCACCCCTCTCCCAACGAAATTGTACATTTTCAGAAAGACTATTCATTTCTTAAAGTGTCTTATCATCCCTGAAATACAGCAGCATATAGATTCCCAAAAAAGTATATTGTTAATGAAATTCCATTTTGTTAGTTCATTTTAAAAAAACTTTTAATAAAGATTCATAATTAAAAATTTCCAAGTTTGCAGTTAACCAATTTTTAGGCCAGCATTTCCCCTTTTAGTAAATACCCCAGCATAAATGAAGCACAGAAAGGTTAGTTGACATCCACCAATTAAGATGTTTTAATGGCATTTCTACAGAATATTACTTGTAGGTATTATTTGAACATAAAAATAATATTCTTTGAAGGACAGTGTGTTTGTTTGGACTTGGGAGGTTTTTAATTTTTTTTTTTTATTTTATTTCTTACCCTTTTTAGTTGTAGGTATGCCATAGAAGCAATGACAATCAAGGAATCTATTTACTGTTGTACAGTGGTTTGCAACTGTTGAGAGCGCTCCTTAAATCCATGCCTAATACGTGTCTTTAATTGAAAAGAGCATCAAGGGGTTTTTTCTTCTTTTTAAAAAAAACATTAAGAATTATGTATATTAGAAACAATTAATATTCTCTGACTATAATCTTAGGCAGCTGCAGTAGGGCACTTTGAACTGTAATTTGCCTAGGAACTGTTCACACCTTCTAATATCACTTCTCTCTTTACAAATCCATTTGCACGAACAACAGACAAAGACCAAAAGACTGTTAAAGGACGTAGAAACATAGAGGTAAAATATACAACTCATTCAAATAACTGATCAGTGGCATACATCACAGATCTTCAAAGGAGGTAAATGTTTACTCAGCAGTCAGTAACAATTCTCTGGCTGTGAGTATTAAATATTGGGTGGCCATTAACACACTCAAATTTATCACCCAAGCCCTGTTATCTATAGAAATTAATCAGTCTTTTGCCAAAGCAGGCAATGCTGTCCCCATAAACAGCTTGTCAGCTTAAGGGAACAGCAAAAGATGATGTTGAGAAACGCAGCAGGCTGGCACTTCACATTTTTTAAGTGTCATTTAACAACACTAAGAATCAAATCCCAGTGTAGTCAGTTCTAACAGTAGCTGCTGTATCTCATATTTTAAGCATGATGTTCATTCCACACTAGGAATAAAAACTGTACCTTATATATTTAAGCCCTAATTGCTGAAATTGGATCAAAACATTCAAGGATAAGTAAGTTTCCATATTTCTTCATTAATTTAGTACTGGCAAGTGCAATGAAATTGAAGTTTAGTACAGCTACATGCAATACAAGCTTTTCAGCTAAAACAGCTTTAAGTCAGCTTTGTCTTTAGCATTTTCAGTGAAGGAAATAAAATCTCTCTCTTCACCCTTGAGAAAGACTCAGAAAGATTTGTTTTCCCTTTCCAATTAAGCAGGTAACTTTTTCTTTTAACTAGCCACATAAAACTTCACAAAAATCTATTAAGGTTATTTCCAACTCAGATGAGCCATTTTTCCTCTCAGGAGGACAGAGAGTGAAGATGGTAGACAGATTCTTTACTGTTGTTTCCTTGTTTTTTACAAGAAGGGAAAGGTGGATAGACAAAGGAATCAAACTGAGGCTACACATGATGAGTAGACAAAAGAAGTGCAGTACTGCAGGGGACATTCCTAAGGCATGTAGAAGAAAGCCACGAGCACCATGTGCAACACCCTAGAAATACAGAAATCGCACACCTACACCTCAGCACAACATTCAAGGTTTAACACTCATTCATAGCAGAGAACACAAGGTCCACACCCACAGTTTGTTAAGAATAAGTTGGTTCCAATCAGCAGTTTCATGAGGTTCATATATCCTGGGAGTAGAAGTCTGACGCATAATATACTTCTGAAGCTACTTAGCAAAATGTTTCCATAGTATCTCAGACTATAAAAATAAAGTCCTTGTGTCTGACCTATTTAAATCATAAATTATTAGTTTGTATCCACTCTTTTTTTCTTCCCCACATGGTATGAGAATTGTGGGCTGAGGCTTTTTTGTTGTTTTCTAGTGTGATAGGTGTAGCACAGAAGGCAGAGTTTTGTTCTTTATCTCTTGGGCATATACTTGAGAAGCATCATCACAATCTCTTCTTGTAGAATATATAACACATCCAACAAGGTCTGATTATCACATTCATTAATAATTAGGTGGCTCCTTATACTTTCTTTTTTGAATAAGGGTTAACATTTAATATTGAACTCTACATCTCTAGACCTATTCCTGAAACCCAGTGATTCAAGCTTCAGCAAATGAACTAATGGGATTTTTAAGAAAGCCAAATAAGTGGCAAGCTACTCCATTTAATGCAAAAGCTTTTTGCTTAATTTAATGGAATGTTAGTTCCTAAGTTGCATAAATTAAAACCCACTTTCAGTCAGTCTCTCAGGTAGTCATTAATGGACAATTATGTTAGTAAAATACATTTCTAAGGTAAACCTAGATCTTAATACCTGTTCTGTTCCTCGCCTGCTGTAAAATCTTAAATTCATAATCCTTAATAATCCCCTTCTCTGTGCCTGTAAGAACAGAAACAAATTATACAATGAAAAACAATCTCATGCACTGTTCCACGCACTGATAATTAAGTAATATTTAAAATACTAAAACAATTCTACAAGATTCTTTAGAGGTTCTGCAGAAAGACCTTGACAAATTAGAGAGATGGGCAATCACCAACCATAGGAAGTTTAACAAAGCCACGTGCCAGACTGTATTCTGGGGCAACCCTGGCTGCATGCACAAACTGGGGAATGAGAGGCTGGAGAGCAGCACTGCAGAAAGGGACCTGGGGGTCTTGGCCAACAGCAAGTTGAACGAGTCAGCAGGGCTACAGTGGATGAGATTCAGCCATCAGAGTGCCCAAAGAAGGCCATGAGGATGGTGAAGGGCCCTGAGGGGAAGCCATGTGAGGAGTGACTGAGGTCACTTGGCCTGTTCAGCCTGGAGGAGAGGAGACTGAGGAGAGATCTCATTGCAGTTACAACTTCCTTGTGAGGGGAAAAGGGAGGACAGACACTGATCTCTGTGTGTAGTAATAGTGACAGGACAAGAGGGAATGGCCTGAAGTGTTAGGGGAGGCTTAGGCTGGATATCAGGAAAAGTTTATTCACCCAGAGGGTGGCTGGACATTGGAACAGGCTCCCCAGGGAAGTGGTCACAGCACCAGCCTGACAGAGCTCAAGAAGGGTTTGGACAACACTCCTGGGCACACAGTGTGACTCAGAGTGTCCTGTGCAGACAGGAGCTGGACTCAATGATCTTTGTGGGTCTCTTCCAACTCAGCATATTCTGCGATATTACTATTTTTAAACTTCCTTAAGACTGCCTACTTTTAAAATAATGCAAGCATAATAAAATCCAGTTTGTATAATTCTGTTGACTTCAGTAGGTATATAACATGTCACAGAAAAGCACTCCTCATTTGCAATTAAATTAACAACTCGCTTGAAATACTAAGCAATACCTATATAAGGGTAAACACTGGAATTTATCCTGGAATATTGTACATTTATTTCAGCATAACCAAGCTTTTACCAAATCAAACATTTACTTCTATTAGAAGCAAAAGAAATCAAGAGCCAGAATTAAACTGAAATATTTATTTCAGGTGTGCTGCCTTTTGTTCTGAAGTAATAGAAGAACAAATTGTAACTTTTTTCCAACAAAGACAAGTAACATATCCCAATGTCCAACTAAGAGCAAAAAATATTGTAGCTTGGAAATTTACAGACTCCTTTCTTCTTGATTTTGGTTGTAAAACTGCAAGTGATAATTAAGAACTTAAAGTTCAAATCATACTACAGAAAAAGCAAAAACAGACAGATGCTGCGGGGAAAAAGATAACTGTTTAGACATATGTATCATAGCTTAGAATATAGCAAAACATCACATTAAATTCATCTTTCATAAAGAGATACTTATTGAGCTTCCAGTGACAATATTCATCCAGTAAAATAAGGAGACAAACTTACTGTTCTAACATCATCTTCATAACTAGTGACCTGCTTGTAATGGGGAGAGCCTGACAGAATTCTCCAAGCAGATATTCCACAACCAGCAGCTTTAGATACCCCATCTTCATCTGTTTCACAGCCTCCTACAAGGAGAAGTCTGTAAAATATGTAAAGATGCATTATGATTTCATATATTGCCATGTATTTTTTAATTTTCTTAAGTCTATAGCAGTTTGCTTAGAGTAACAAAAGGCTAAATATACAAAGACATTTATTTATACAACAGCCCTGATAAACTTTGTGACTAGATACCCGGAAATCTAAAAAAACTTCAACATCATTCAAGTAACATTTGTTATTCGTAGCATGTATACCTATTTATTCTCATCTCTAGCTTTCCAGGTAAGTCATAATTCCCAACATCAGAATAAAATAAGTCTGGCCACAAGTCTGAGTTTCCCTCTTACCGTAAAAAATGATAAACAATTACTGCTTAAGCGTGTAACAGGTTCTGATCATTCAGTTTAAGCATCAGATTCCCATTTATTCAGATGTGGTACAAAAGCTGAACACATTAAGGTTTGTCAATTCTGTTTTCTAAAGCCACTGTATCAATTATACATGCGCATGTAATACTTTCATTGCCCATCTTAGCTGGCATTTTAAAAATTTTTATGTAAGTCTTATAATTAATGCTGATCACCACTAATTTGCCCTTGAAGCCCTTTCACCTTCCTTCTGTATTTAACTGATAACTATTTTGGTGAAAACTTTGAGAATAGGCGTCTAAGTTTGTTTGGAAGTATCAAAAGGTAAAGAAAGTATCTACAAAAAAAGGCACAACTGAGGAGCCTGAAACTCCTCCTGGGAATGCTGCATTATCGCCTTCCCAAGGCCTCACCATTCCCAAAGCATTCTACCCCCAGAAGCAGCTGCTGCTCGCAAGCGCAACTCTGGCAACCAGGGATGCTAAAACTACACCTACAAAAGCCAAAGTAAGAATAAAGGAGAAAAAAGTCCTCACACATTTTTTAATCCTTTTTAAGACATCAGTAAAGCTTATTTAGTATTTTCAGGTCTCCTGCCAGTAACAAACGTACAGCAGGATGGTTTTATACCATGGATGAATGACAGAATCACATCAATTGGCTGGAAAAATCCTCTGAGGTCATCAAGTCTAATCTATGACTAAACCCTACCATGTCAACTAGACCAGCTCAAGGCATGGTGACTCCACCAATTCCCTGGGCAGTCATTCCAATGTCTAATCACCCTTAACATGAAGAAATTCCTCCTGATGTCCAATCTAAAACTCCCCTGGAACAGCTTAAGCCTCATCTTGCTCTATCTCTTCCTGGCTCTTTGGGAGAGGAGGTTTACCCCCACCTGCCTACAACTACCTTTCATGTAGCAGTAGAAACTGGTAACTCCTCTCTTAAGAGTGATCCTTAAAGTTCCTAAGAGATTTTGTTATTTCGTGGTGTTCAGAATAGCCTACTGCTGTAAAACAAAAGTTATTTTCACCAAAATCTGCAACAGGAGACATGAACATGAGGGAAGACTAATTTTTTTTCTTGCATGTGTGTTCTACACATAGCACAGCCAACATGCAGCAGTTTCCAGGCTTAATTTCTAGATCCTTGAACATCTAGATACTTCTAGGACCATCTGAGGACTCTTGAGACCATCAAAGAATTCCTGGGAAGCCTCTGAGGAAGTTCACAATGCCTGTCATTGACAGGAAGAGCTAGCTAGCATGCTTTAGAAACTTTTAGCAAGGTTTGCCAGCTGGTCCTAATCAAAGGCTGCTTTCAGCTTTTGTTCCAGATGGACACCTGATTTGCAGGGGGTCAGGAACCCTTTCAACAAAACCTGGGAAAAGCCCTATGTAAATGCCAGGCCTAGAGTGCAGCATTTTGCAGAAAAAGATAGCCAGAACCTGTCTTTGTGTATGTTCTAAAAAATCACAGTGATGTGCTGCCAGGCTCAGTCTCCAGCACCTTCTGGAGCAGCTCCCTAGCACCCTAGAGGCCTCGACACAGACCATGCTCCTAAGGGAGGACACAGATGTGCAGGTTTTGGACTTGCAGGGACATGGCTCCAAGTAACCTCCTCTAACTGAGCCTGGGGTGAAGGGAAATGGATTAGATGATCTCCAAGGGTTCCTCCAGTCTCAAAAACTGGCTGCTCTTGCAGTACCTCAACTGTACTCCACTCCCCAGGTTTATACAAAGTTGGGCTGAAGATGAGACTGGTGTTACACCAGTCTCAAGAACAAGCTCAGTTGAGGTATCCAAGAAAAACTTGCTATGCCCTTCTTTATTTAGCAATTTTGGTACAAGTATTTTAAATAAATCTGAAACCCTCTACCTCCTTCATCACAAGCCCTTCAGTGCAAACTATATACTTTAATATCAAACATTTTCTGAAGCAATTGCAGATAACCCAGAAATTACACATTTAGTTCCAGAATAAGATACCAAAACAAGCAGCTGTTGAACCTTGGATTAGAGTTTACAAAGAACACTTTGTAAACTGAAGCACCGAAGCAGACACTTAAATTTTGTCAACTAAAATGCATCATAAATTCCACCCTAGATGAAAGAAGGATCACATGAGAACACCAGGTATCTAAATTAAGGTATACAATACTTTTCAAAAACAGTAAAAGTCATTATTGGATTGATTTTTTTCCCAAAGTTACAGCTTCAAGTTTTCCTACAGTCCAGAAAAATTCCCTACTGACCTATTCTCCTTGCAATTATTATACATCTAGTTGAAAAACTTAAGTAAATTAAGTTCTTAACTGCTATTTTATTGCATTGTAATGGGTCATAGGCAAATACACAGTAACACAGTAAGGCAGTAAGCTAAACCTTACAAGAAATGAAGAGAGATCAGTATAATTTCATCACCTGAGATTAAATGAAATGCAAGAAAGCACAAAATGACAAAGTTGAATTTGTCTTAAGTGATCAAACATATTATTGAAAATTAAAACTTTGAGGTGTATCAACAATTTTCTTTAATGCACAACTTTGAAGTACTTGTATTCAAGCCCTTCCAGGGTTTTTGGGATAACAAGAAAATTTCAGCAAGAGACTTTACTCGCAAATTTAGAATTCTCCAATGTCAAATTTACAAGCGTTCTACCACAGACTAAATTCAAAATAGAAAAGACTTGCATCCATCAGGGGCAAAACACTGGTTCTTTTGTTTTCCACCCAATTATGCATTCTTTCAAGTGTCAAGCCACTTAACAGGCTGCACATAGCAGGAAATTCTATAACCATTAACCCTGATCTGATGAAAGGAAACAATGGGCTTGTTCTGCTGTCTGGTCCTGTAGGGTTACCAAAGCTCCATAACCCACAGCTATTACCTCAAAACTGTAAATTTAGTATACTGAGTGTTAATTATGTGAAATCACTAAATATTAATTGGGTGGAAAGAAAAAGCCATCTACAAAATTAATCTCTCAAAATAATAACCTAGAAGAACATTACATCTCATTAATAATAATTTGTTTTCCTAAGATAGGTATGACAGCTCACTTAATACTGAAGAATGGGAAGAAGTTTTTTCAACAGTGGGTTTCTGGCATTTTATAGCCAAGCCTAATTTCCATTTAAAAGAGTACAGTGATATCACATTGCACTAAAAAATTCAATCCTAGAAGATTCAATACAAGAAAAATATATTAAAAAAGTTTAGTTCCCACAACTGAAGACAAATAGAAATAGAGTTGCTCAGTTTATCTTGGTACATAAGAAATTGATATTAAAATAATAGCCCCATTTTTAGCATAAGGTAAAGATAATAGGCTAACCAGGACCTATTCCAGTTACATTGGGTTCAAGAGCATGCAGGCAGTCAGTCCACATTTCAAGTCCAGTTTCTGTACTTAGCAGATTACTAATAGAGAAAACACATCACAAGATAACTCCAAATACCAGAGCCTGGCAGTTCCACTGAGAACACCAGGGAAAATGGGCTTGCCAATAAGTCCAGCAATAGAAAAACAAAACAAAAACCACAACAACAAAAAACACACAAAAAAATAAACAAAAAAAGAAAAAAACCACCACCTAATTTATAGTTCAACCTTTACCCATCTTTCATCACATTCAGAAACCTCTTTTGATGCTATTCCTGACATTCTAAAAAGTGCATGTTGCTTGCACAAGGTACTCAAACAGAAAAGGACATAACTTTACTAATGGAATAATGAAAGTCAAGTGAGATGAACTAAGGTCCCTCTTTCATAGTAGAAAGAGACATGACTTGTTATTACTGATGCCCTAATTAGCAATTTTAGAATAGATTTTTCTCCCCCTCCCTATTCAACACACTTCAATGCTTATTTTGCTACTTTCTGTTAATCATTTACATACCAATGTCAGGTAGCAAACAGAACGTTTACCTGTGACCAGGATGATAAATGACAGTTGTTATCCCATGGGGGTAGTGGCTGCTAAAGCTGAAACTATGACTTTCTTGAAAGCTTTGATTTGTTCCAACACTAAGTAAGCCAGGAAAAAAAAAATACATGCATCAGTTCAGATTTATTTATTACTTTAAAGAGTATAAAGAATTCTTTTGACATTCACTATGCCATCTCAAAGCAAGTCAAAATTTATGCATACCTTACAAGGTAACTTCTCAGTTCTCCACGATAATTAACAACAAGGAGTTCAGCTGACCACTGGGCACTTGCTTTGTATTCTAGAAAGATCAATCCAGCAATAGCGTAACTCAGATCACCTGGAAAACTTGCTGTCTTTACCCAGAAATGAGGGCAGACATTGGGAGAGAAAGGGGATTTTTAAAAAATTGTATTTGGTACTGAAAGGATTAGAAAGTTAAATTAAATTAGAAAGTTAAATTAACTATATTGTATTAAAAAAATAAAGTTTCAATTGCAAACTAAATACATTTTCTTTTACCTTGATTTTAAAGTAATCATACTATTATAAAGTTTGCAAAGACAATATACTGAGGTAACACAATTGAGCCACCTTCACAAACCAGTTCAATATACCACTGAACATACAGAATAGAAAATATATTGTGTGGGGCCTGTCAACAGCAATTATCTAATATTGTACCAAGCAAAGTACTCTGGCAGAAATATTTCTTGATTTACAATTTGACTCTGCATACAAAATGCAGATTTATTATCTATTATTACAAACTGTGGTGATTCCATACTTTCACTGATGCACCTACAGATCTACCACAATTCAGGACAGATATAAAATATATCCTTTTGTGCTGTTTTAAGGGCTACACGTGACTCTTGCTGATAGTAGGATGGATGTATTATAGTGGGACTTTTTATGGTCCATTTCTGCATGGTACTCATAGTGTAAACATTTATAGCAAACTCAGCCATGATTTAAAAAAGGTCAAAGAGTGGAAATAATCCATAATCCTTAAAAAAAGTTCTACTATATTTGTATTTTAACCCAAGAGAGCACATACCGGTGAAATGACCAAAAGCTCACTACCCATCAGGTCAAACACTCTGACTGTTCCAATGCTTTCAGCATAAGCAAGTAATGTACAATCATGACTCCATGCCACTCTCCTCCACTGAGGATTAGGATCCTTTGGCACTATGAAAAATGAATAAAATTATTAATAAAAGCAAAGAATAAATATAATCCCTCCAGCAGAACAAAAAGTCAATTGCATGAAAAAAATGCAGGGGGCCCACCAGGATTACAAGCTTATCTCAGAGGGTAAAAAAAGAAAAATCACGTATGTCTCCCAGAGCCATTAATTCTAATTATCATTTCAGATTCAGGTTTCATATATTCATCATAGAAAGAAGTTGCAAAGAGAAGGTAACAGAGCTAGTCAAGAAGCAAAACTATTAAGAGACTCTTTCCAATGATTGTAAGAAATTATATCACTACCATTAAAGCAAACTAACACCACCATTTATCAACGTATGAATAACAATGATGACACTAAGTAATAATGAAGAAATTACCATACCTTGACATTTTCCAACTATGGATACAAAGTCATCTTTTGCAGACCTGCAGAAAAAACTCATATGAATTTATATACAAAAAACTCACTATTCCATTTTCTGTAACAGAACACTCGAAAAATATTTCAAATGCACAATTCAAAGGCCTGCATGGCTCTAACTACTCGTTCAAAAAAGCAGATAGTAACTTTCACCCTTAGGCAGCTACAGTAACAATAGTATTTTAGAGCCCCTGCAACTGCATAAAGACCAACATCCCTAATTTATTTGTAATTCTGTACAAAATAGGACAGAATCATTTCAGTGTTTCATACACCTTTAGAAAAAAAAACCTAGTCAGTATTCCCTAGGTTACAATTTTAGAAACAATGCAAGAATATAGTTACATTAATACAGTTGAAACACAAGATTTATTTTATAGTCTTTAAGCTGACGTTTATGGTGCTCACACCACTTTTGATTGAACAATTTTCATACACTTGCTTCTTTTACATATAAATGGAAGGTCTGACCTTCTAGCAAATGGATTTTTGTGAAGCAAGTAAACACACTCAATCAAGATCTGTTCTACAGCTAAATGTGCTCTTGAACTGGCAAAGGAGAGCTTGTTGTTAAGAGAGCACAAGAAAAGGGAAAGCATCAGTCTTTACAGCAATCCACACCACTTGTAAAACAAGGTGAAGTATTACACATGACAGCTACTCCACAGAGAAGAACACTAGATCCTTGGCCCATTTATTAGGGGAGAATTTCAAAAGGGGGCAGAAAGGCAAAGGTTAGAAAGACTATGATTTGAGCTGAGTGTTTTTGAGCATCTTGATTGTTTTTCTTTCACATCTTGAAAACAGAGAGAGAAATACAGATAGATACTTATATCAATCCAACTGTTATAATTGGGGGGGTCAAGGACACTTTATGTTGGATTTGTTTTTTTTTTTCAGGGGGGATGTCTGAGAACCAAAAAGAAACAGAAGGCTCCTCCTTTTATGATCATTCCATGGATAAATTTCACAATATAATAACATTGCAAAACAAAAAAGGAATCTATAAAAGTATTGCAAGCAAATGACCAGAAACACTTTCTCAGAACTTCACAGCTGAAGTAACAGATAATGCTAAGTTACCTGATTTCTACACATTGGTCTTGAACAACTGCCAACAATTTACCATTGCTGAAAGAAAAAACAAATGCAAAAGTTCACTTAAAGTCCACGCCTTACAGAACGTGCATCAGAGTTCTAAGTGCTTTTTTCTATGGTTAGATATAAATTGCCTCATTTCTTTTTTTCTTATTAAAATGGGAAATATCAATTTTTATTAAAAATAAAATATCCATGCTGATAATCCTTCCACTTCAGAGAAATCTGTCTGCCACTCCTTTCCAGCAGCACTAAGAAAACAGCACAAGCTGTAAAATCCCACTGCATGGGAGGTCAGAGTCCGAGATTGCTGACTATATACTGCTTTGTCTATGTACTGCTTTGTCTGGTATAAAAAACTATCATAATTCAGTAAGTGATGTCTCTTTGCATACAATATAAACTAAAACCTTCCCTACTACCTTCACGTAATCATGTCACTGAACTATTTTTCTGTACTTACTTTTAAAAGCCAGTGATCTCACTGATGTTGCTAAAATTCCTGCAGAACAGCTAGTTATAGCCTTGGAACTTTCACTTCTCTATGTAGGCAATAGCAGGCAAGTCTTGAGGGTATGCATTCACTTTTCACAAATATAAATTGCTTATTTTAAAATTATATATCCCGCCAAGTTATAAGTCTTTAGTCAACCAAATTCAGGACTTGAATTTGAAAATGACTGCACTGCAAGCCACTTTGCCCCAAAAGCTAGACATTCAGCCCTGAGTGAGAGGTGCACTAACTGAAGGGAGGCAGGTAGAAGCCCCTAGGTAGCACACTGAGGCCACCTGTGAGAGCCTGCAATATTTCTCTTGACCAGAAAGAATAGCACATTTTTAGCACAGTATCAACTCAGCGTGGCTGAGCTGGGGATGGTGGGGGAGCAGAGGGAGCATTTATACATTCACTCCTGTCAGAAAATGGCAAAGCATGGGAGCTGGTTACCTTGCAAGTATGAGGTGCCAGTTGATCTGCTTACTAACCAGACGAACCAGTCCAGCGGGCAGAGAAAACTTTGCAGGGCTGAAATACCAAAAACCATCAGGCTCAATTAGAACACACAGCAAACCAATGCAGATACACACACCAGACAACTCAGCTTCAAGGCAACCAACAATTACCTGAGAGGATTTGTAACTGAACATGAATCAACACTGCACCCTGCCAACGACAAAGGATAACAACAGCCTTGTTTTTACTAACAGAACAAAACTGCATATTAGCAGAACTGATCACTTGACTAATCACTCTTTACACTCTGGTCACCAGCCAGTTCTGGTACCCCCATTAAATGAACACCAGTAAACAGGAGGGGCACCAAGATGAAAAGGGGACTTGAGTACTTGCCGTACTATAAATCAGATGTTGTGGGAATTCTACTTGTTTAGCCTGAGGAAGGGGAGGCTTCAAGATGACAAAACACCAGCATTGTGACTGATATCTAGGAGACTACCAGGAAGATGGGAGGAACAGAGGTACATGGCTGAAACACAAGAAACTATGATAAACTCTCTAGAGGATTTGGAAGTGCTGGCATAACAGTTGGACTCCATGACTGTAAAGATCGTTTCCAACTAAATGTCTCTGTAATTCCAAAACCAAGGAGGTTTCAAGCTGACATTAAGAAGATATTTCTTTACCATGAAGACAGCCTTTAACAGGCTGACCAGAGACTCTGTGGGTTCTTCATCTTTCAACCTTTCTAATACCTAGCTAGACAGAGCACCAAGGACCCCAGTTGGAATTCAATGTTCTCCTGCTTTTACTAGGACTTTAAACTAGAGGCCTCCCAAGCTCCCTCCAAAACTCTTTTATCAAATACATGAAAATAGCAACTAGAATAAACTATAAAAACTTGAAACTATCTTTTAAATACGACTACTGGAGGAAGGGAAGTAAGTGAATTCTGTCTACAACTGAATTCTTACAACTAGAGTCACACAACAGTGTGTCACCCATAAACATCACCCCCTCACAAGAAAAGGGGGGGGGGAGTAAGTGCACAAAAATAAAGTAGAAAACCAGCAACAGGGAAAACAGCATTCCCTACCAAATTCAAGTAAAGTACTGTTTCACATGAAGTCACATTAACATCCCTTTCCATGTAACTCAAAATCAAGATTATCCTTTAAAACAGGAAACTTATCTTCAAACCGGCTAAGCCATATAACGCCAGAGCTGAAATTTTCCAGAAACATTGTAGTTACCCCAATAAATTTATAGGACCATTTAAAGACTTTTTGAATCAAAACTAAAATTTATAAATGGCATGAGTGCTGCTCAAATAGTTACCATGCTTTTTGTATGAGTTTGAATTGTCAAACTAAAAAAATCCAAAATTATTACTCCAAGGGAAGCAAACCCTGTCAGGCCACCATATCTGTCACAGGCTTAAGAAGAAACCTCACAACAGCTTCCCTTGCAGTATCTCAGCTGGGACTGGGAAGGACAAAAACACGTGTTTGGAGAAACCTGCTCCAACTGCCATGTTACTTCAGCTTCTGATGAAAGCACAAAGTCAAACTAGTACTTACCAGTTTTCTTCTATTTAGACTTCAGCTGCAACTCAATTTGAGAAAAGTGGCTATTCTATGCATTTCTAGGACAATATTCTAAACAAGTGTTCAGTTTTACTCCAATGAGGAATTACTTTCCATCAAATCAAAAAGCTATAAAAATATTACCAAATAGGAAAATTAAGCAATATTTTTGTAAAACTTACCTGTACCAGATGTACTGAAGCAAAAACAATGCAGGACCTAAAATGGAAAGAGGTAAAAATTACATCTCTAGTAGTCTTAAAACACCCTCCAGATTACTGCACAGGGAATCTCAAATTCTCATTAAAGAAAAAGGTATTGAGAGAAAAATCCTTTAAATTTGGCCAACAAATTCTTATGTTAGAATAAATGCAAATGGCAAATAAAAAACAAACAAACAAAAAACCAAACCACTGCACTATTTTGTTTCATTTTAAGATAAATTTCTACTGGATGAAAATACAGTTCAGTCACTGACATTTAACAATTGGTTTATGAAATGTAATATCATCAGAATTTGAAACTTCCTCATAGAACTAACTAGCAGACAGCCCAGTACAAGAGACTTTAAGAGAGGGGGGGGAAAAAAGGCTCCAATACAGTTTGCAAAACACAGACCTTGTTAACTTCTAAGATGTATAGTTTATTAGTTTGTCCCAACAAACTAATGGAGACAAGAATGCTTACAAAATTGACATAAAAATAACACAGCCACGTTCACAATCAGAAAACATCTTCCTGAAAATACATCCTGTACTCTATTCCGATTGCTATTTCCATCATTAGGCACTCTAAAGGGCAGAAATTGTAAAATTTACAAGTAATCCACAGAGTCTTAGACGTCATGAATGTAAGAACAAGTAATATTTACCTGCAATTGCTCTAGTGATGATAAATGATGCACCATGTGTTCTGCTGCCTCTTGGCTGCAATTACAATAATAATCATCAGACACCATGTCACACATTTTTACTTAAATACAACACTCATACATACATTCACTGACTAAGTTTAAGTTGGCTCCTAGCCTACAAGTTCATTGTGTATTTCCTATTACTCACTACTTCATATAACGTCTCCTTTAACTGCATAAGCTAAAACAGGCTGTAACACCAAATAATTTAAATGTCAGGATGCAATAAACAAAATGTGCTACAGATTGTCTATTGATTCAGCTTTGCCTCAATCTTTGGGTAGTAACAAAAGACACTGACTTCTGATTGTGTTCTCCTGTAAGCCATTATAGATCATTCTTTTTATGCCAAATAAATGCCACAATGATCTGTAATGCCTAGCAGTCAAAGTACTCAGTGTGCAACATATTACGTTAATATCTAAGTGCTAAGCTACCTAAAGATTGCTCATGAAAGTTTCAGAAACATTAAGAAAAACAATTTCTGAAAAAAAAACACCTCTTTTTACATCAATTTGTACTATGTAATACGGCCACTTGGATAACCACCTCTAGATAATACCATCTCACACAGCCTTTCCACCTGCCCTAATTTAGGCACAGGGAGCAACTGCAGTCACTATATAAATGAAAGCACTCTCCAAACACAGAAAAAAGGAATACAAAAACAACACAGGATATATATGCTTATCTACAAGAGGAGTTAAAATTATTTGTCAGTAAGACAATATTTTGCCAGTAAGAAGCAGAAAGAAGATACAAAACGGAGGAGTGAACAAGGATAACCAATAAGGAAGGATCCACAAAAAATCCTCAAAATAAGCAATCATGTTTATACCTTTCTAATGAGAATATTAGAGCACCACAAACTGAGCATCAGAGTAGGCAATAACTGAATTTTCTCTTCCATTCAATACAAAAAATATATAGAGCAAATTTCCCATTAACTGAAATATTCAGGCCTCACCAAGTTACAAAGTAGTAAACACTGAAAGACATACAAATTTATCAACATTTTGCAATATGGCTATGCTTAAAAAATAGTATTTGGCCTCCCAAATTTAAATTGTTAAAGATTAGTTTTCCAGGCAAAGTTTGCAATCCATAAACAGTCTTTCAAATAACCAGGCTGTCATCTCACAGCGTGTAAGAAGCAAACACAGCTGTACTAATAGATAACATTCCACATTCAGGCTGATCAGCTAGGAAATAACAATGCATTACAGTAAAATAAGTGAAAGCATAAATTATTTCTTACAGCTACCCCAGAACCTCAGGGAGAGCTGCAATTTCCTAGGGACCTTAAAAGGAGAGCTTGTTAAGTTTTTGGATTATGAGGAAGTTCCCAGTAAAAAAAATCATTTCCTAAAACTGCTTACATCTCTTTAGAATTTTTTATTAATATTTTAAGTGTCTGGTCCTGAGCCTAAACTACAGGCTGCTATTCCATACATCTTCGATACTTCACAAAACTGATTTACTGTTAAATCCCAAAGACTTGAGTTTTACTTTTTATAACATATTCTTATCATTTCAGGAATAGCAATGGTTATCAGATGTGCTGTATTTCTTTTTAATTCATTCCTTCTTGGGAAAACAACTTCTATTTTTCCTTCCTGACAGCCTTCCAGAAATAAAATCTAAGTAACTTTCTTGCTGACAAGTCACCCACTTAGTTTTGGATTTCTTTGCACAGCCTGCAAACTTACTGGGGGGACAGAAGCTGGTGGGTGTTGGGGAAATCTCAAAACGTTAGACTGTAATGAAAAAACAAAACCCACAAGACCAGGTGATACATTTTGGAAAATAATTTGAAGAGATTTCCATCTGCCTATATCTCCATAAATCACCTCACAAGTCCTCTCTTGCAGCCTTGTCCGCACCCACTGCCTCATTCACTATTTTCACTATACATGGATCTACTACTCAGTAATTCCTTTTATTCTCATTATATATTTCATTGTTCTCAAACAGTGCATTTTATACAATGGCATCACTATCCTGAACACAGACTGTTTGATTTCCACACCACTCTCTTCTTTGGTGTAGTCAATTCCTATAATTGTAGTAGTCAATAACTACTATAACTCTCCCTGGCCCTCCTTCCACCAAAAAATTCTTACCGGAAAGCTCAGTACAGGTGAATGATAATACCAACAAGAAGTAATATTAAAAAAAATTTAGGCATTCAGCCCAAGAGATCCATGCCAGTTTCATCAATGTCTTGAATTTAACATGATTTTACATCTTCATCACCAAGGCTCATCTTCCAATAATTAGAGCTTTAAGACCTAGTGCTCTGCAATTAAAAATTAATCATCCCAAATGAGAGAACATAAAAAATAAAGTCAATAAAGACCTGTAAAAGTTTAAGGTCTGGCTTTGTAGCCTAAATTACTGCATAGGAAGACAACTAATTTCATTTCCCAGTGCAGCATTCAACTTCCTTTCCATTTCTACCATTCTTTACCTCACTTATTCCAAAAGATTCAGTTCTACAAGAAAGTAGGGTATAATTTTTTTCTGAAGAGTGTGAAAAAAATAGGACTAAAAGAGACAGATGCTCCAAAGGGAATGTTACCTAAGGACACTTAGGTGTCATTTAGGACAATCACCTAAGTAGTATCACTGTTAAGGCATCTTAAGACAAAAAGTGACTCATACTGACAAAATAATCTGTTTGCCTATGTTGTCAGTGTAAAATCAATTTCCCACTAAAATGGCAAAAAGACTATCAGAAGTGTCCTTGAGTACTGACAGATTCCAAAAAGAATGTAAATCCAAGCAAATTATACAGCATAGGATTTTCAAACCAACTTCTGCTATTGAAAACAGGTATTATCTTAAAAATAAATAGGCAAGAAATATCAAGTTTAAAACAACCACCACCATCTGCTTAAGCTAACAAGCAGAATTCAATGATGCTTAGAAATTCTGACTACCAGGGCAGATAAGGACCCTCAGACTGTGGTTACACAGTCACTTTAAATTGGCATCCCCACCATGGAGAGGTGTCATCTCACTAACCTATTATTCACAGCCCCCTCCAGTACACTACAGGGGTACTAGAGAGACTACTAACAAGAGGAGATGAAACAACATTGTTGTTTCTCAGAGTTATCAGTTCTTTAATCAACTTACCACACAACCTCAAGAACACTATGGCAGCAGAAAACGCATTTGTCAGAAATGTGCCCCCTTAACACGGCTGTAAAAGAACCACAGTTTTGTGTCATACCTAAGTTCTCCTCATGGTTTGCAACAGGAGAATTGTTTCCATATGCTACTAAAAACAAAGACTATTTACCATTTCTCAAAACACAGTTGAATTAAAATAAGTGCAACTATCAATTCATCTATACAAATACCCTATTAAGCTAATAAATAGTAATATTGCAATCGTGTTTTCCAAACACCCATAAGTGTTGCTGCAACTGAGGATTTACAGATCAAGAGCAACAACACCAAAAAAATCTTTCTGACAAATGAAAACTTTTTTTTTTTTTTGTTGGAATCTGTGGTATTGATGATTCAGTTTTGAGCATGGCTCTAGTAATTTTTAACAGATAAGTCTTCCCCTTGTGATGTTTTTACATCTTTTCTGTTCAGCTGTTCTCATTAAGCATAAAACTTTGCTAAAATGCTTCTATTACAAACCTTCAGTGGGAAATGCATTAAAAACTTCAGTGGACTTAAAAGCCACTACAAAAAAGGAATAAAACCACACTGCTCGCATCATCTATATCCAAGTCAGTCAAGTGCAGACAAAAGGCAGCAAGCTCAGCACATTGCAGAGGAAAACATGAAAAAGGTAAGATGAAACAGCTTCTCAGCCTTTCTGGTGATCCGGGTAGAAGAACAGCTAGAAGTATCTAAAAACCTGCAGTACAAGAACAGTGTAAACTAGCACTTAAGAAATCAGAAATAGATATTTGTGTGCATTGTGGACAGAAAATCAAATATTTTTCTCTTTTATCCCTGCAAATACAGACACAACTGTACTGATACAGGAGTCCAGAGAGAGGATCTAATTTTCCTCATACAAGGTAAACCCAACGAAGGTCCTATTTTCACCAGCACAGACTCCACAGCTCTCTGTACGGCTGATTCTAGAGACGACACCTGGACTTCATTCACCAGAGTTTCGCTTGTGTCAGCTCAACAGCAAAGCCCGACACACATTGTTCAATAAGCAAGCAACACTTCAAGGCACCCCAGGCAGCACAAGCCACGGTGGGAATTAAGCGACACGAAGGCACACGGGGACAGTGGCCGCACGGACACGCCGCGTGCCCGCCAGGCCCAGCGCGGCCATCCCGCCGAGCCTCCCGAGGCACCGGCGCGGCCCCGCGGCCCCCGGGCGCCGCCGCGTCCTCGCCCGCGCCAACGTGGCCGGTCCCCTCCCCCGCCCGCGGCCGTGCCGCGGCCACACGCACCTGCACCTCCGTCTCCGGAGGCCACTCGGCGTTCACCAGCAGGTCGTACAGGATGTTCTCCTCCCCGTCCTCCGCCTGCTCGCCGGCCATGCCGCGCTCCCGGGGGCTCCCGCCGCGGTCCCTGCCGGCGGCGGCCATGCCGGGCCGCCCCGCCCTGCCCGCGCCGCCGCGGCGACGGCAACCGGCGGCGGCCAAACCGCTCCGCCTTTCACTCGCGCGGCGCCGGCCCGCGGCGGGCGGGACCTCGGGGTGTGGATGGAGCCCTGACCGAAGAGGGGCAAAAAACGGGGAAAAGGGAAAACGTGGATTTCTCGCAAGTGGTTCTTAATGGTGCCACGGAGGACTTCTAAATACTTCAGTCCTACCAGTTAGAGTTCCTAGCGTTCAGCTCTCTCAAGCAGATAAAATGAGCTGATTTGTAAGTTCTGGGTCCCTCCCGGCAGGAAGGACACCGAGGGCTGGAGTGTGTCCAGGCAAGGCCAGGGAGCTGGGGAAGGGTCAGGGCACAGACCCACATGGGGAGCGGCTGAGGGAGCTGGGGGTGTTCAGCCTGGAGCGAGGGAGGCTCAGGGGAGCCCCTGGCCCTGAACAGCCCTGAAGGGAGCCTGGAGCCGGGAGCGCTCCGTTTCTCCCAGGCGAGAAGCCAAAGGATGAGAGAACAGCCTTTAGGTGCACCAGGGGAGATCCAGGTTGGACACTAGGAAGGATTTCTTCACAAGAAGAGTTGTTAAACATAGAAATGGGCTGCCCAGAGGTGGTGGAGTCACGGTCCATGGAGCTGTGTAAGGGAAGACTGGGCATGGCGCCCAGTGCCTGGTCTAGTTGACCAGGTGGTGTTCTCACAGGTTGCACTCAATGATCTCAGGTATCCTTCCCAACCTGGTTCTGTGAAATAATTACAAAAGAACTGATATTTCAGCCTCTTTCCTGCAACTTTATAAAGCATTTGTAAAATATAAATAAAACTATTTCTCACCCTGACACTTCTGCTCCTTCCGTATAATTTTTGCTTGTGTTAGTAAACTCTTTTAGGTGTTATAAATGAAAATTTGTCCAGCCAAAATAATATGAAAAAATAAAATATTTATTTTGCAATCAAATTCTATCTAGCCAGCCACAAGGAAAGAACAGAGCCAAGCTCAGGGTTGGCCCTGGGTGTGCAACAAGGAGTCAGCCTCAGCAGAGGTTTTCCTCTATGCCCACACACCTCCATCCTGGCACAAGCGGGTTTTATAGGGAAAATTCTGCCTGAGGCCAAGATTTCAGCTATCAGTCTTTTCTTCTATTCAGAGTCCATAGGTTAATAAGATTTTCTTTGTATCTGTCTGAGGACTTCCATGATATCCATCTTGGACCGTTTATGTGATGATCAGCATCCGATGATCAACACCTGGAGTCCCGATGGTCAGCACCGGGAGTCCAGACATAGCCCATCTCCTGGCTGAGCCACATCCTTTTACTTGTAAATCAGTTTCCAATATACACCCAGTCTCGCCTGCAAAGGGGGGGAACTAATACAAACAGGCATAATCTAACAAGTATCCAATATTATATATTTCATACAAGGAATGGCGCGAATTATATTTACTACACATAACATAGGCAACTGTGTAGCCTAGAATTAGGTTAAACAAAAATTCAAATTCTGAACCTAGGGATTCAGGGCAATGTGAAAGCTTTGTTGGATCTTGGGAAAGAGTTCAAGAAGAAACAACTACTGAGAAAAAAATGCCTTTTTACTGTGTCTATATTTTTAAACTATATTTGACAATGTAGCTTGTAAAGCAATAGTAGATTGTGTAACATCGTGTAAGTTTCAAAGAATTTTGGGAGATGTATAGTAAATTCCAGTCCACGTTCCACACCAACAAGCAGCACTATGTATTGATATCAAGGTCTGCCTACAAACAGATTTTCTTAGAGTTCTGGTTGAATCTGTACATTATTCATATCTGTGCCTTTAAAATTCACTAGTTTTGTCATTTACCTGAAAGCAAGCAAACTAATGATTGACAGATATAGCAAATAATAGTGAAAGAAAAGAGGCACATCAAAGGAAGATATTCCCAAAGGAATTATTAATACATGAGAAACCATTGCAATGCAAACAGCCTGGTATGAAGGGTATAAAATACCCTGCTGTATTTTTCTCTGTGTGACACTAGTTTCTACAGTGTAAGTTAACAGCTAGTAGGGCTGGTTAAGTTTAAAAAAAAAAAAAAATCTTGAAACAGACCACTGGGACAAAACCAGTATTCAAATTGCAACACAGTATTCAAAAGAACTACATTGTCAGAGATGCTTATTTTGTGGGTTTTTTGGGCCTTTGAACCAGGTATGTCTCCATCCCACGCTGCCTTCAGAGAGATTGAAGCTGTGTTTCACAATGGAAAGCAGTAGGCAATAGTTTATGCTGTGCCTTCCGCTTAGCGGACTAATGTACCATTGGCTCATGATGCAACTCTAGAAGCTGCACTTCTGCACTCGCAATTTCGTTTTGTTTTTCACAAAACCCCGAAGATTCTTGCGTTTAATGTCCCTAGAAGCTACCCTAGAACAAGATGGTGCAGAATCTGGGGAAGCTTCTGTAAAACCTGGAGAATAATAGCGAATGTCCACACGCACCCGGCGCCTTTGGCTCCCGGGGGCCAGCGCTACCCGGGGGGCGCTCGCGGGCGGGGCGGAACGCGCGGCGCGCGGCTCCTGCGCCCGCCCGGCCCCATAACGCGGAGGCCGAGCCGCGCGCCTGCGCCCTGCGCTGCTGGCGGCGCTGCCGGGGCGAAGATGGCGGCGTTCTCGGGTACGTGGCGCGGGGCCTCTCGGCCCTGCGGGGGCCTCTCGCCTCTGCCCGCGGCTCTCGGGCTCCCTGCGGCGCCGGGGGGAAGCTCCTCGGCCGCCCTCCCAGCCTGGCCCGCGGTAGTGTGTGGCTGACCATATATCAGGCTGAAGGTTGCGAGGCCCGCGGGGGATGTAGGTGCCTCTCCCCGTGTCCTCGGGCTTTTATAGGCTGTGAGATTTTGTTATCGGAACGGTTTTGCAGGTTTTATTGCATATGTGGATCTAGAAATGGGGCAGCTTAAAAGTTAGGCTCGTTCCTCATGCTGACTTGTTTCAGTAACGGGAAGTTTATCATAGGTTCTCTGTATAATACTGGCTTTTTATAAGGGAAGCTCTGCTTGGTGATACGGTTTAGCAATATATATGTATGTGTGTTTTATATAAACTATATATGTGCATACAACAGTAAACTGTAATCCGAAAGCTTACTATTAAAGGTGGAAGCATCATTCTTTGTGTCCCCTTTCCCATGCAGATATTTGTACAAATAGACAGCCAGCCAAGATCAGAGTTCTGTAAAATTTTAAAGTCTGTGGGGTTTTTAATTTGTTCCTTTTAACTGAACTTTTTGCATCTTATCATAGGGGTGAAATGCTGAAGCTTTTTCCTGATATCTAGAGATCAGTTTGGATGCTATACAGCAGGATAAATTTGGATGTAGTTGAGGAAAATGTCATGGTGTCATTGTTTGATTAAATTCTTGTACTTTATATTGAATTAAACTGTGGGAGTTGGAAGTATATGGGAAGAAATACGTATGGATTTGTTTCCAACTTGGAATTAGTAGGAATTGATTTTGATTGCTCTTGATTTTGTTGCTTGTGTGGATAGTCTACTTTTGTAGGATTAAAGGCCAGCACTTGAAAATATTAAAGCTTCCTGCAATCACATTACAAATAAAACACGTTTCTTACAGCATTTGTATTATAGCAAGTGGAAAAATAATTTTGGGCTGTGCAGCAGCCCATCTGAGTGTGTGCATGTGCATGCTGTGTCTGAAACCCAGCATGTGGCAGTGCAGAGGCCAGTGTGTGAAACCTCTGCTTGGAAAGGTGCATGTTTATAGGAATTGAAGGGATTGATTTAGAGTAACCTTTTGTACCCAAAGAGATGACCAACAGATAAATTTTTATTTTGATGGTGTGCTACCAGCATTTGGGTTGGTTAGCATCTGCTTTCCTTTTGAATAGCTTCAGTTTTCTTTTGTTTTCCTTTTTAAAAATGGAGGATTTGTTTATCAACATACAAGCATGTTGCTCCATATTTAACTTGTGTCTGAGGTACAACCATCAGACTTTGATATGAGTTTGCCAGAAGGAGTATCCAAGAAAAAAAAAAACTTTAAAAACTGTAATTAGTAACTTTATCAAAATCAAAGCCCTATCTTCTTATTACCAGGCAAGATTGGTGAACTAGAGTCATTAGAGGATATAGGTTTCTTCTACTGTTTACACCTCAGCTGTAGAGAAAGTGAGGTATTTGTGATTAACAAAGTCTGTAGTACCTTGCCCTTGAAATGGTGCTCTGTTCCCAGTGTGTTTGCTTTGCTGTTGTGTCTGTACCCGCCCCTGCCCTGCCTGACTTACTCTGCACTGAGTGGGGACAACTCTCAAAGCTGCCTGTGAGGAAGGGAGGACATTTCCATCAGTGGGTGCTGGCGTGAATGCTGCACATGCTGTTGCCAAAAAGACTGGTTTTCCGTGGTTCTGTCTGTAGCTGGAAGTGTCGATGCTTGGCAATCTTTGGGCATTGTGAGGTTAATAACACTACTTGCTCTTTTTTTGCTTGTCTTACAGAAATGGGTGTTATGCCTGAGATAGCTCAAGCAGTGGAGGAGATGGACTGGCTGTAAGTAGGAGTGTGGCAAACTAATTTGCCTTTCAGCAATGGATGACATGCTGCTTAAAGCACCTCTGCTGTCACATTAAAGCAGAGTTGGATGTGTGTTTTCCTTTAACTGTCATTGCACCTTGTGTGCTTCTCTGTAGTGTGAAAGACTGAGGAATACAAACTGTGACTGCAGCGGTAACATTTAAACTTGGACAGGCAGAGCATGACTGCTTATGCTTCACTTCTTTTGTTTCACAAAAGGCTCTCTGCCCCTGGTTTATTTATATCTATCTTAGGGTTATTGGATGAAATACTGTCCTGTAATCGATGCTAGTTTAAATTGTCATTCAGAAAGTTGTCAGTATGGACAACCTTAATGTATGTAGTTCTTCTCATATGAATGTTAGGTGTGATTGTCTGAAAATGCTGTTTGAGTTTAGTTATCTTTACTTTTTTTCCAGTTTTGAACA